ATCCTTTCCTTTTCTGAAAAGTAATATATAAATGTAAACAAAAATAAAAAAATCATTATTTTATTTTAATTATTATAATTTAAAGCCTAAAACCGTTTTTCAAAATCCAAATCTTAAAAGAATCCAAAATGATACTAGTATATAACTTAAAATGATTTTTTTTTTTTTAAATTTTGTGGCGCTATGTAGAAAAAAAGATAAATACCAATTTCAGTTCCTTAATTTTAAAATCGTGCATAATTTTTATTTTTCAAGTTTTTTATGTTTTTTTTTATCTTTTGATTATGAGAAAATATATTTTTATTTATTTCATCAATTAATCTGTTAAATTTATCTAAATGTACACATTTTTAATAAAGCTGAGGGACGAAAGATGTATATATATTAAAAGTTAAAAGATTAAAAATATGTAAATTAAGATAGATTTAACAAATTAACTGATAAAATGATTAAAAAATATATTTTTTATAATTAAGAAATTAAAAAAATTAAAAAATGAAAACTATATAAGACTTTAAAATTAAAAGACTAAAATTAACATTAAGAGACTAAAATTAACATTTAACCTATAAAAACACATAGTAAGTAAAGCATCCTCGTATTGTGCCGTGGCTTTGACATAAAAGAAATACTGAATTAATAGTCAACTTTGTTTTCTAATTTTATTTTTGTTACAAACTTCAATAATTTAATTGTTTTAATAACATTTTTTTTAAATGTGCTTTTAAAAATGCAATCATTACATTTTTTTGTCATTAATTTATCTAAAAAAATTAAAAACGTACGTAAATTTTATTAATTATTTTTTTTTTTTGAACTTTTCGTCACGAATCGGATTTAAAACCTAACCAAAGGAAGAGGATGGGAAGAGGATATGCACTTTTATCAATGGCATCAGTAATTGGACCACAAAAGCAAAGTGCAAATTTTACTAATTATTTACTTAAATAGTTTCATGAGATATTAATATTAAAAATTAAATTCACTTTACAATTTTTTATATAAAATAATTTTTAAAAATATAATAAATACACCAATAACATGCAATAACGTGTGCCTTAATAGGTTAGACTCTTTCTAAAAAAGAATTTGTTTCATATTTTCGTATTGAACTACTGAAATTATTAAAAAAAAAAAAAAAAGAAGGATCCTATCTTAAGGCCTGAATCATTCCTTTTTCGTTACTAAAATATTTTTAATGAATTAATAATGGAGAAGAATTTCACAAAAGGGTATATTAACAAATCCATAGCTTGATCCAGGTCTGATTGGTAAATCACTTATTTTGCCAAAAAATGAAAACTCTCCTGAGAACTCGACTGTTGAAATTTAAGAACTGAAAGACATTGCCCTGTAATTAGTCATTTACTGCTCTTTGGGAAGAACTTCAAAAACTTATTCTAATTTCCTCAACAGATTTCATAGATAACAATAACAAGGGGGGCAAAATTAAATCTCAATTTTGTTTTGCATAGAGCATGCTCCTGGACAAAATGGAGCATGCAGCATGTGCAGATGCAAAGAACATTAAGAGAGGTAGAGGTTATAAATTCAGAAAGCTGTTTTGCAGTCTGGCTTGCGCGGACAAAAGGGTTAACCATTGTTCCATCGATGGTTAAGTGAAGTGCAGGGGTCCTGCACTTTTCTGTTATAAACTGTCACTACTTTTTGAAGATTTTACCCTTTTTCTCTTTCTATCCTTTTTCTTCAGTAATCCCTTATCTGCTAGTGTCTTGAGCTTCTGTTTTCTCCGTTCTTTTACTTTCTCTTCAAAGCCATCATCCATCATCTTCATTGCTGCTACTCGCTTTGCCTTGCACACCTGCAAATGATTTCAATGAAGTGTGCAGATCAATGAAGATCAGATACTGGCCATTCCTTGGGAAAATTGATAGATATGTTTTTCATGAAGTCCCATAAAAATTCAAGAATAGAGGGTATAAATAGTGAAGCAACCAAATAATCATTATGAAATGATCCTGACCTTTGTGAAATCAGAAAGCACTTCCTTTTCTTTACACTCAAACTCTTCCAACTGCTTTCCCAGTTCAGCTTCTATTTCATGAACAAGCTGCACATCATTCTGCAAAGTCCGTGTGTCAAAGGGAAGAAGCACAAAATGGATTCTCCAGTAGATCAGAAATAGACAATAAAATTCATAGAAGACGTAATGTGCTTTATACATTGAAGCTTTGGTAACTAGGTTTGCTTGGTCCAATGAAAACCATTAAGAAACAAAGTTTCAAACTCATATTTAAGTCCCTCTCCTGCTTAGCACTTACCTCAGTAACAAAGCTCACGGCTAACCCTCCTCTACCAGCTCTTGCAGTTCGACCGACACGATGAATATAATCTCTAGGATACCTGAAGCCAGCAGGCAATTAATATTTTATTGCATGGATGGAAGTAATTTTAGAGAAACTAACAACAAATATAGATCCTCAAATTATTACCTTGGTAAATCATAATTTATGACTAGATCAACTGTAGGAATATCCAAACCACGACTGGCAACATCAGTTGCAATTAGTATAGAAACTTGTCCAGATTTAAAGTGATGCAGTGCAGAAAGCCTTAGAGCCTGAGATTTAAGTGAATGCAGAGCTGCAGTCTCCACATCAAGCTCTTCCAGTAATAAACTTAGAAGATGACAGTCTCTGCTCCCAAATTATAAAGGTCAAGAGTAAATGTCAAGATCAAGATGTATACACACATAATTAAAAGTAAACGAAGCAACAAAAGTAGCAGAGGAAACAAGAGGAAAAAGGGGAAAAAAAGGCTCTTTTCTGGCAACATCGAAATGACCATATAGTATAAAGCACTTGTTACTACCAAGACAATAGATTCAAAAGCAATTCACCTATGTTCTGAATAATGTTAAATGCCAAAAAATTCCTAGCTGAGATTCTAGAGAAGGCAGCATACCCCACATTGTTCAAAACTAAAAATCTCCAGCAGCCGATAAAATTGTTGTCATTAGCATTTATATGTAAATTGCCACAAATCATTGTCTAAAGGTAAGCCAGCAGACCATGAAGCAAGAAAAATTTTCTTTTACTGAATAACAGCTTTTAGCTACATCAATAGCTTCCTAGTTTTCCAGCATAACATCCATCAAAACATGTCTTACATGGCTTGAACTAAGATTACGAAAATGGGTAGATTACTACAGGGACAAAAAAAAAAAAAAGAAGACAGAAATTGACAAAAGAAGACGGAAATTGACAAAATAAGAATTCATGTCATGGCTTAAAAAATTTGATACCTGCATCTTGAGACAAATATCATGGCCGAGCGAATATTCATGTCTTCCATTTTGGACAAAATGTGGATCAGATAAACATCCTTTACAGTTTTAGGGATGAAAACATACTGCTGCTTAAGTGTTTCAACCGTCTTAAAGCCTTCATATGCTTCATAGAAGTATGCTTTATTGGCTGAAAGCTCAAGTAGTGTCTGCAGGTTGCTGGTCATTGTTGCAGAAAATAAGAGAGTTTGTCTATTTTTTGGCAAGCACTGAAAGATCACTCTCAATTCCTCCTCAAATCCTACATCCAGAACTCTATCGGCTTCATCCAAAACTAAAAACTAAAACAAACAAAAATAGAACATAAGGAACAATCTCAAAGGGTACCCTCCCCTGTAATGAATGATATTACAGTGTGTAAAAAAGAAAGACAAATTTAAGATACCATCCTACTTTCATGAATTGCTTGGCAAAGCTAGATCATTACA